TCTCTGAAATCTCGTCTCATGAAGCAGGAACACCACGAGAGGACGTAAGGCATCCAGCGACTCCTAAGTCAGCACGAAACCCGATGACGAGTGTGGGACCCACGGTCCAGGGAGGTTAATGGGCGTCAAGTCCATGACGGTCTGTTCCAGCCAGCAGCCTCATGGGGCTCGTGCACTCTTCCCCTTGTTGAACTTAGCTAAGAACAAACCAGGGTGCATCAACAATTCCATGGAAAATAGAATGGAGAAGTTAATTTCGGTGCTAAAAAAAAAAATCTTGAAATCCATATGGACGAGTACTTTTCTAAGAAGCAGAAATATTGTGGCGTAATTACATAAAAAGATGAGAAATGACATCCCAGACCTTGTGCCTGTGTTGTCAGGCAGACGGGCGCTGCTGGCTCTCAGCCTGGTCACCGAGAGGCGGAGGGACCTCAGCACAGCAAATTGAGACCTGGGTCTGTGAACTCGGATGGCCAAATAAAATTACAGCTTCGCGGCCTGGGGCGGCGGCGGCGGCAGGGGCGGCTCGCCCAGGCCCGGGGGCTGGCTGGGCGGGCCGCTCAGAGTGCGCAGACACGCTTCGCTCAGCTCGTGCGCCTTGGGGTGGCCCCCGGCGCTGGCTGGCGACTGCAGCGAGCAGGCGGGGCGGTGGTACTCGCCGTCGGCGCCCAGGGCAGCGGACGCCGGGTAAGGCTGCTGACTGGCATTATAAGCGAACCCGTTGGCTGCCTGGTAGGGGTAGCCGCCGTAGATCGCCGAGCTGTCGTAGTAGGTTGCTTTTTGCATCGCGTTGTTTCACGGTCTTGATCGCACACTCTGACAGGGGCTTGACACCCGTGAGGGCGCACATTGGCACGCCCCCGCGGTCACGTGACGCTCCGCCGCCAATGGCCGCCCCGCGCAGACCTGGGTGGGGGGGCGAGAAGCGCAGCGCGGTGAGGGCTCCGCGCAAATCCATCTTACTCTCAATAGCTAAGTGACATGAAAGCCATAAAAGAAAAAGTGGTCAGCAATATTTAGCAGCACGACTTGGCCCCGGGCGCAGGGAGCCGCGCTATAAAAAGCCGCTGGAATTTACTGGCAGCTACAAATATTTGCTTAACTTGTGTCTGGAGTTGGGGGATTTTTTTCCGGGGACAGAAAAGGCGAATGAGCGAGGACTGGAAGCCGAGCCTCGGGAGGCAAGAGCCGGGGTCCTGAAGAAGAAAGTCCTGCTAGGCTACGGAGGAACACTGTTGGGAGCCCCCTTTCCCAGAAAGAAGACTTTGAGATGTCACTTGTCTCCGTGCCTGGCCTGGACCGCGGGGGCCCAAGACCCTGCCCCTCTGAGGATCTTGGGGAACCGGCGAGGAGCAAAAGGGAGCCTGAGTCGCAAATGTCTTCTTCACTCCCTGCTTTAGGGCTGATATTTGCCAAAAGGGCCGTGCGTTGGGGTGACTTCCCACCCAGCCCCTTCTTGGCCCCAAGACAGTTTTGCACAAAATTGTGCACCATGCTGAGTTTCAGAAGCTGAGCCTGCTAGGAGTTCCCCTTACCCTTGTAGGGAATATGACCCACCTCTTTCAGATGAGTCCCTGGTGGCCAAAAAGGGGAGAGAAAACTTTGGAAGGAACCGTGTAAGACAGGGAGAGGGACCAACAACACCCCGTGCACCAAGTCACAACGCAGATCCTGGACAGTTCACACTTCTGCTCTCCCTGTCTGCCCCTCAGGCACCTCTCAGCAAGCCGCCACCCCCTCTCCCCCAGTTACTCCAGGCTCGCAGACCCCCTTGCCTTGGACTTTCTGAGGTGCTGTTATTCAGGGCAACTATCAAATTCTACCTGTTAAAACATGATGGATGAGAGAAAAAAACAACCCACCAGGAACCTGAAAAACCAGCGTTCATCTCCATGACCACGGCTTGAACTCTCCTTCCAACTTAACGATAATAGGTTCTGTCTTAGAAACTGCTATGTAATTTGATGTATGGGGGTCATTTGGCTCCGGACGAGGCGATGGAAGCACAGGCCATAAAATCCTGCCAGAATTCCCTGATCTTTGTGTGCTGTTGTTGTTGACATTTGTTATTTGGCCTATTTACCTGCTCCAGAAACACCAAGAACAAGGAAACACTTGCCATCTAAGAAGCAATAGAAAAATCTTCTCAACTCACTTTTATTTAGAAAGCAGTTTGCATAACGGAAAACCAGCTTTGCCTTTCTGTTTTCAACCTTTGCATGCTCAGCTGCGAGTTCTCAGCTCAGAAAAGTTCCAGGAGAGAGTCACATATTCACACATGCTCAGAACATTAGTCCTTCTAGCCACTCAAGAAAATTAGGATGACAAATTCATGAAGAAAATGGCTTACATTTTAAGCTCCAACTACGTGTAGAGTGCCAGAGCTATTCAAGTTTTCCAGGAATAGCAAATACTTTGTTAACTAGAAAAAAAATAATATAACAAGCCTCTACCAGTGGATGATTATAATTTTGTTTTTAATAATGAACTCCTTTAGATTTCATTATTAAACCAACAACCTGACCAACATCTGGTAAACAGGCACAATTAATTTTCCAGAACCTCAATTAAAAATTACAGCATCCTTATCCGGAGTTACTGTGCATGATCACGAGCCCTCAGTACTACTTCTTTGAAAATGGATGGGATGCTACAGAAACCACAATCGAAAGCAAATAAGGGATAAAATAAAATTTTAAACTGAAAAGCCATTTAATGTCCCAGTTTCCTGTTCTTTCATGGAAAACAATTCCTGTTATATTTGGCAGTATAAATGTCCGCCTTTATAAATTTTGTAGATACCAGACTTGTGTAAAGTAAAACAACATTGCCTTAAGAAAATTGCCATGGACACTCAAAGAGCAAGATATTAGATAAAACAAAATTAAGTTGACTTGGAACACACAGTGTTTCTAGTGACTTGCTAATCCATTACCACAGAGGCTGCACTGGCCTGCTGCTTACTTAAGCCTTTTCATCAAGTTGTGCATTGTCTCGTGAAATAACATAATATACTTAAAAGTCAAAGCGTGTACAACAGCCCCCCAAAAAAACTTGGAACATGAATTCAAGCCGGAGATTTCCCCCCCCAAATCCTTCCTATTGTTTGAGGTCCGGCCATCACCTTGGGGCTCACACCATCCCCTCACCAGCCACCCAAAGTTTGCTACCCAGTGAAGAAGTTGGAGATTTGCCAGCCAGGAAACTTTGTTTGCACAACCCCCTCTCCCCCCCCCAGCAAGGGCTGGGGATTCGAGGAGACTCCTCCGCCCAGACCTGTTTCTGGACAATAACCCTCAGGTGCCAAGAGCTCCAAGAGGGTCGAGGTGGCCAAGCCCCATTGTCTCAGGAAGATGCGCCCCAAAGCCACCTCCCTCATTCACGCCGCGCCCTCAGTGCAGCACCCGCCCGCACCCCGAGTTGGAGCGGGGAGGTCCGGGAAGGCCCCCAGCTTCCCCAGCCCACCCCGCCCTCGCTGGCCGACCCAGAAAAGTTCCGGCTGGGCTTGGGGAAAGGGACGCGGTGGGGGCGGGGGTGAGAAAGCGGCCTGAACTCGAAGGGTAAGGGTATCAGTCACTGCCGGGAAGGAAGCTCCGGCTTGTGAACTCTTCTTGAACCGAGATTTAAGTCTGCAGCCATAAATCACCGAGACGTAAACTCCGCCATTCAGCGCAGAGAGCGGCCGGTTGTGGCCCTGCTTACCTTAACTTCTGACGAGCGCCGCGGGCGCGGGCTCCGGCCCCCGGCCCGGCTCTGCTCAGCTGCCCGGCCGGGTCCCCTCGGCGCGGGACGGGCGCCGACCCTCAGCATCGGCCGAGACGGCGGCCGGGCGGGAGACCCCGAGGCCCGGACGCCGGCGCGTAGAGCGTGGCCGCCTCACTGCTCCGGCACCGCTCGCCCAGGGCCGACTGGGGCGGCTGGGACCCCCCCTCCCACCCACCCCACCCACCCACCCCTCCCCCACACCCCCGCCCCCTGCCCTTCCCGAGGGCAGCAGCCGCGGCCGGGAGATAAGCGCTGGCGCGGCGCGGGGCTCTGCCTGGGCTGGTGGCACCGACTTGGGTATGTTTCTTATGAATGTTCCACGCGGAGCAGCGTCTGGTCGGGGGGTGCGGTGGGGGGTGCTTGGGGCGGGCGGGAGGGGAGACCGCGCAAGCTGGGGAAGCGCGGGCCGGCGTGGGGGATGGGGCTGAGGCTGGGGCGAGGGAGGGAGGGGAGCGCGAGGGGGAGCTCGGCGGCCTCCCCCCGCCCCCAGCGCCCTCCCTCTCCCCGCTCCCAGGCGTCACCAAAGTCCAGGAAAATTATGCTAATGAGGACAAACGGCTCTCACAAAGGGGCTCCCTTGCCGGCCTCTATTTCTTGAGGAATCTGAGGATCCACATAACCCAGTGCCCCGGGCACCTCCAGTTGGGGGCGGGGGAAGGGGGCGTGAGGGCAAGGAGAGCATGCAGAAGTGAGTTCCCCAGACTCGGGGCGCCCTCGTTCACCTGCCACCCCGAATACGGGCACCCAGAGCCAATCGCTAGAGGGCCGGGCCGAGCCCTTCCTGCAGAGACCTCCCCAGAGCCAACAGGGCTGTCTTCGGTTGTAATTCTAGGCAGGAATTGTTGGAGTCCTGGCAGCCGGAGCCAAGTGTCGGGGTGCGGGGGGGGGGGGGTGGTGATTCGCGTTCGTCCCAGCAGCGAACCGGGACGCCCCGGTCTGAGGCGCACACAGGGTGCCCGGAAGCCTGGGTCTGCAGCTCACCTGCGCGCACTTCGCAGTACACACATGCAGCTCACGCACACGGGAAGGCAGGCAAAGCTCAGACCCCGACTCGAACCAACTGCCGCGGTCATCCTTCCCCTGGTCAGCGCACCGCTGCGGGGGGGGCGAAGGCGAGGGTGCCCGGTCTCAAAGCAACTTTGGCAGGGACGGTCCTGCTCCCCAAGCCTCCCCGGCGCCCCACGTCCTGAAGCCAAGCAAGCGGGCGCCGAGATGAGCGTGGCGGAAAGAGAGAAGCGGAGCTTTCCTGCAATTCCGGGGCGTCGGTGCGGGCCCTTCTCTGAGGAGGGTGTTAAAAATATAAGTAGTATGTTTAAACTGTCAGGGAGCCCAAGTGTCACCTTAGAGCAAAAACAAAGCCGGGGGAAAAGGCAGAAATCAAAAAGCACTGCGGGCCAGGGTGGCCTCATGCATACCAATGGTTTTTGTCATTTATGGCTGGGCAAGATTTATGACTCGGAGCCCCAAAGCTGTAAACAGAGCACAAAACAGCAAACACTTGCTCCTGGCGGCATATTGCGGCGGCGCAACTTGAAAGGGGGAGCCGGGCCGCGTGGGAGGTGAGAGCCGGCCGCGAAAATCCGCGCCGCGGCCTCTTCTCTTCAAACCCGCCCGCTCGGATGTGGCATTTCAAGAAAGGAGGCGTGGGTCAATGATCTACCCGCACTTTCTCCTCCAAACTGCTGACTCGACTCGCACCGCCAGCTGCCGGCGAGGCCAGCTCTCCGTGAGAACCTGCCCGGGAGGCGACGCGTAGGCCCAGCGCGCCCAGGGCTCCCACCTTCCCGGAGGCGCCGACTCTGCGCATGGCGCCGCGCCGGGCCTGGACCTGCGGGGCCGCAGGAGCGCGGCTCGGCCCAAGCGCCCGCTCGCCCCTGACGGCGGGCACAAGTGGGGCTGAGACCTGCAGACCGGGCTCTGGCGTCCCCGGCCCCGCGCCTCCCCGCTTTTGAAACCCAAAGGATCGATTCTGGAGCGAGCGCAGGCGAGCAGGTTAAAAAATAACAACCTAGGATGGCAGA